ACTCTATTTTAACACGGCGAAAAAAGTTGAAAACCAATTTTAAGTTAATTTTAGTTAAGAATTAATAATGATTTATCAAGAAAACATTGATAACGGCACCTATAAGTATGCAGTGAATTATGGGCATAAACTATTTTATTGCATACTCTTAGGCACATTTATAAGTGATTTCCAACCTAAAAATAGTAATTTATTTAGCTCGTTCGATAACTCTAAATAATAATGTTCTTCATTCGATATTTATTACATTTTTTCTCCGTGCACAAACACTTCAATGTCTGCCATTCGTCGTCGCCGTGGACAATATGATGGAGTAAAAAAGAAAAGCACACGGAAAACACAGAAAGAGGAGCTCACAAAAGTAACAACTTAATTTCTACTCCCTTTTTCCACAGCTTGCTGCTTGGTTACCCTTTTGAATTCATACTGGCCTTATTGGCAATCCATTGAAACATTGAAACGTACTCCATCAATCAGAGGAAGAGCCAGCCAGAAATGGTTGGAACTAGCAGATGATTGGGGCTTTTCGGAAAGTTTGAGTCCCTTCACCACACGTCTTTACTTTTCTTTTCTACAGAAATCATTTTTGTAAGCATTTCGTTTCATTAATGTCGCATTTTGTACAATGTTATTTTGGGATTGACAAACTAATTGGAATAAAGGACACAAACTTAAAGCGATAAGGTTTCTATTGATAGAATTCATGGAATAGATCTCAGCTGCACATGTGTATAATGGAAATAATAAGGCGAACAACTGACTTATATATAGAAGTTAAGTGCCTAGACAAGTTTTCCGCAATGCTTAATAAATGTTAAATATAAAATTTGTAGTTCTGAAAATAATAACTATAAAGAAAAACAAAAACTGACAAAAGCTCTTTAAAAGATAATTTGATATAAGTATGTATAATCTGGTAAAAAATGTATAAAATACTTTAATTTGGTCTATAAACAAGAGAGGAAGCTAGCTTCGGCCAGCCGAAGCTTATATACCCTTGCAGATCATTCCTATTAATAAACAAATCGCAAAAATGTTCAATTTTCTAATATTTCTCATTATTATTTCTCATTTTGATCAAATTAAAATTGAAATTCGGAAATATTTAAAAAGAGTCATATCCTAGAGAAGAATATAATACAATAAAAACCAAAGAAGCTAGAATTTATTTCCTATTACTTTTCCATTAATTTTCTGATCGTTCCTATGGCAGCTATATGATATAGTAGTCCGATTTTTTAAATAATTAATTCGAAATTCAGAAATATTTAAAAAATAACATCCCCAAAAGTAGAAGGTAATATTTCAAAAAACACCGAAGCTAGAATTTTTTAAAGTTTTTTTTTCCGATTGTTCCTATGGGAGCTATAAGATATAGTTGTCAAATCCGGTCGGCTCCGACATATATACTACCTGCAATAGAAAGAAGACTTTTGCGAAAGTTTTGTCCCGATAGCTCAAAAACTGAGAGACTAGTTTGCGTAGAAACAGACAGACGGACAGACGGACAGATGGACAGACGGACGGACAGACGGACAGACGGACAGACGGACATGGCTAGATCGACTCGTCTTGTGATGCTGATCAAGAATATATATACTTTATGGGGTCGGAAACGTCTCCTTCACTGCGTTGCAAACTTCTGACTGAAATCATAATACCCTCTGCAAGGGTATAAAAATATAGCCATTATTAACATATTTACTATAAAAACCAAATAAATTATAGTTATTTATTCTCAAAATAAATAAAGAACTCTAATTAGCTGGGTTTGCACTGGAATACTTATCCAAAAGCCCTGGTTGTCCAAGCTAATTTCCCTTAAGCTCTATTAAGAACTATCATCAGGTGTCTCTTTGTTAGTTACCCTTGACCCTTTCCCTGCCCGCCCCCTTTTCCGTCCAATGCCCACTTAAGCCTTATAATACCAATTTAGAATCCCCGCGAGGGGAAAAGGAACTCAAGCTGCCAAGGCAAGCGCCTTAAATAACGGGGAAAAAGTTGGTGGCCTTTGTTCCACGTCCGTTTTGTGGGCCACTTTTATTTATATCAACATATATACACTGGGAAAAATTTTTCTGTATTTTTAAACATTTATAAGTTATTCAAACATGTTTGTAAAAAAAACCGAAATGAACTACTTTCAATTAGGGGATTTTTGAGTAAAAAAATAAGATTGGGGGAGAGTGGGGAAATTTCGCCAGCATTTTTTCAAAGCTATTATTTGTCTATCTTGAGACACGTTATCATATTTATATTTTTATTGTTGAACGCTGTTAACACCAAACTTTAAAATGTGACATTCCCCCTTTTTTTAATTACCTTGGTGATTTATAAAATATAAAAAAGTAAAACCAATATACTGGGGCAATTCTGCCACATAGGGGGGTAAAATCTCCACACCACTGAGGCAATTTCGTCACCTGAAAAATGTAGGGAATTTAACGCCTGTAAATATGCTACACTGATCAAGCGTACCACTTTTGTTGACGTCCTATATTTGTTGCTGCTGCCTGTACCTGTACCTTATCCCTTTTCAATTGTGGCATTTCGTCGAGAACTAAATGTAGCTTTTGAACTATTAAAACACATTTAATATTATAGCTTAATTATCTTGGCCTTCTATAAAAAATATGCATTGGTTGTGTCATGCCGTCTAGAAGGTCTAAAACCAAAAAAATTATATATTTGTACCACTTATAAATTCCGAGATGTTGCAGGTGACGAAATTGCCCCAGTGACAAAATTGCCCCACTCTTCCCTAATGTTTATACCCTTGCAGAGGGTATTATGATTTCAGTCAGAAGTTTGCAACGCAGTGAAGGAGACGTTTCCGACCCCATAAAGTATATATATTCTTGATCAGCATCACAAGACGAGTCGATCTAGCCATGTCCGTCTGTCCGTCTGTCCGTCCGTCTGTCCGTCCGTCTGTCCATCTGTCCGTCTGTCCGTCTGTCCGTCTGTCTGTTTCTACGCAAACTAGTCTCTCAGTTTTTGAGCTATCGGGACAAAACTTTCGCAAAAGTCTTCTTTCTATTGCAGGTAGTATATATGTCGGAGCCGACCGGATCGGACAACTATATCTTATAGCTCCCATAGGAACAATCGGAAAAAAAAAACTTTAAAAAATTCTAGCTTCGGTGTTTTTTGAAATATTACCTTCTACTTTTGGGGATGTTATTTTTTAAATATTTCTGAATTTCGAATTAATTATTTAAAAAATCGGACTACTATATCATATAGCTGCCATAGGAACGATCAGAAAATTAATGGAAAAGTAATAGGAAATAAATTCTAGCTTCTTTGGTTTTTATTGTATTATATTCTTCTCTAGGATATGACTCTTTTTAAATATTTCCGAATTTCAATTTTAATTTGATCAAAATCGGACGACTATATCATATAGCTGCCATAGAAACGATCGGAAAATTAATGAGAAATATTAGAAAATTGAACATTTTTGCGATTTGTTTATTAATAGGAATGATCTGCAAGGGTATATAAGCTTCGGCTGGCCGAAGCTAGCTTCCTCTCTTGTTTTATTTTAAATAAAACACAATTCTTACAATTTAAATTATTCTAGGATTATAGTAAAAGTTTTCTTTGAAAACCTACAAATATTAATTTATGCAATGTACTTCTAGCTAAAGGACAAAAGGAAAATAATGTCTTTCGAATTATTTTTTTCTTTCAATGAACTTATAATTTCTTTTATTTATTTTTGGCTTTGCTAAATGTCTGAAAAAAGTGTGGAGCAAAAACTGGGGTCATAGTTCACAGCTGTTCATTTGTAGCGCCTTTTTCAGCCACTTGTTTTGCGACCCGTCCACTTTTTCCGTTCCACTTCCGCTTCTGTTTCTGCTTCTTTTTCGCCATTCCCCTTTTACACTTCCCCCATTTTGCGCGCTTTTTTCCCTTTTCGACTTCCTGCTTTTCTTTTCGGGGTTATTGTTGTTGATAATTTGTTGACCATCACATTTTCCGCACATTTTGCGTCTACATTTTATTCCGGACTGCAAACTTGGAACTTCTTCATTTGTCTCCGAATGTCGCTTTCTGTCTCTTTCTTCTTGGCATTGTCCATCTCTTTCGCTTCGCGTAGTGCCGTCCCTGTCGCACGCACTTCATGCATTATTTAACTATTTTGCTGTCCACCATTCTCTCTTCTGCATTTTGCCCTGTTTTGTTTTGTTTTAATTAAAAGTGCTGACCGCCAAAGAGCTATACCTAGTTTTCCCCCGCGTTTTCCGTCCGCTCTGAGGGGTTTTCCACCCATTTTCCGAGCCTCCTTTCTCCTTTCCCCTTTCCCGCTTCTCGAGGCATGTCTGTGCATTAATGTGGCTTATAATCAAGATCCGCCAACAAAAAGCGTAGCAAAGTGGAGTCGAGTCAAGTGGAATGGAATAAAAAGTTGTTCGTCCTGCTTTTTGGCCACATCAAAGGCAAGGCCACTCCAGCCCCTATTTCGACCACCCCCAGCCCCCAACCCCCATCCAACCTCCATTTCCAGGACCCATCCTCTATCCATCCATCGATTGTGGTCGCATTTTGTTGTTTATGCTGTATTCCATTTCGGTCTGTCGAAACTTTTATCATCCGCTTATCGCCTTTTGCGGTTTTCATATATCCCAGATATACTATATTTACTAGATGGAAATGCATAAATACAAGAAGTACATATGGTTAAAGATAAGGGGATAAGGGGAAAAATGTTTATTTGTAAATCCCTTACCAAGAGGACAAAACAAGGTTTATTTAAAAAAAGAAAAAAATTGAATTTTTTCAGAAATATATACTTCAATTTCTTTAAGTTGCAAATTCTTAAATGTAAATAATAAAGTTATAGAACTTACAAAATAAAATCGAAAAGAAGAAAAAAATAAATATTGTTATTAAAAATCATGTACGTATAAAACAAAGTAGCAAAACAGTATTATAACTATCACAGTAAGCGGGGAAAACACCTTCTCAATCAGTTCACATAACACCTTCTCAATCAGTTCACAAAGTAATTCTAGTGTAGATCATTCCGGGACTTTTAGAGAAAATAAAATTTAATTTTTTTCAAATTACATACAATGCCGGGAAAGAAGCGTGAAAAGGCTCATTGCAAACCTGTATATAACGTCCAGAAAGTAGTGCGCCTTACTCGCAAAGGCTACTTTTTAGGGGACTACAAGAGGCCCTCCTGCGGAATGTCCGCACAGGATATACATGCAGCCAGGCAATGGAATAAGCTATCCCCCGCACTAAAGGAGCGTTTTAAGAATATGGTAATTATAAGCATATCAGTATATAAATAAAATCGTATTATAGAAACAAGTACACGTAGATGAAACCTGTGATCGATACTAACAGCCCACCTCAAGAGGTCGAGAGTCATTCTAATGGGAAAAGCCCCCTTAAAACTAAACTGGAGAAACTACGTCAAAAGAAAGAGATGTTTGCATACATTAATTTTCTGCGAGTTTTCAAAAAGAAAAATCCCACTTTGGAGGCCGAGGATCTATTAAAGAAGTCAACTCGTATGTGGCGCCGTCTACAAGGACATCAGCGAAAAAAATTTGAGAAGCCGCTTTAGTAGGGCCCTCTAAATGTAAAAGTTCTTACAAATATTAATTCCTAAACTATTTCAGGATCGTTAGAACAGGATAAGAAGCAGTAATCAGTTTTGGCAATATTAAAATGATAAAATTTGAAGTGAAACATATTAAGCTAATGAGATTTTGTTAGGTAAATGAAAATAATTGGTTTCTGCTAACTATTTTTCATTATAATCATTATAATTCTATTTTAGAATCGTAAGAAAAGAATAAGAAGCAGTTCTCAGTTTTAGCAATATTGAAATGTATAAATTTATTGTGACAAATATAAAACCAATGAGATTTTGTAAGGTAAATGAAAATAATTGGTTTCTGCTAACAATTTTACATTATAATCGTTAAAATTCTATTTCAGGATCGTAAGATCGGTATAAGGAGCAGTACTCAGTTTTAGCAATATTGAGATGTCTAAATTTAATGTTAAAAAAATTGAACTTTTGAGATTTTGTAAGGGTAATGGAAATTATTGGTTTCTGTTAAGTACTTATTTTCATTTAATAATACTTTAAAAACGGCAAGCAAATGTGTTGTTCTGCTGGTATAGAGAAAGTATCTAGGGATTTTGTCTGAAAAGCTTTTAAGCCAAAAGCATTGTAATAATTTGCACCATTTGCTTCGTTTAAAAAATCCCTCGAGCGAATACCTTGACCCGCTGACCCGATTCGCAGACTTTCGCTCGATTCATTTCAATATTTTCCGATTTTTGCGGATTCTCCAGTGAGGTGAGGTGAGTGGAATTAAAAGAGTGCTGGGGGGGTGGGAAAATTCAAAAGGGGCGGAAATTCAAGGGGGAAGGCAGACAAAAATGGGTTAGGGATGGCCGGGAAAATTAACGACACGGCGCGGTTTTCATTTGTTTTCTAATTTAAATTTATGTTTATGAGTTATGGACTAGGGCAGGGCCCCGCCCCCTTTGGCCACCCGCCCACTTATAATTATGAGTTTCTGGTCTAGGCTCTTTGAGGTTATGTTCGCACGCAGGCTATTAATTTTTGAGCACTTCGTTTCGCGGTCTCGGATTAGTTTACAGTCGGTTTTGAAGGCGAATGCAAAGGATGTGGGGAAAGCTTCGAGTAATTGGATGAACAGCAGCGGCCAACAGGGCGGATGAGTAATGTGGACGGCAATTGACAGATGGGTAAGCCGATTCACCGTATAGATCCTTACTTCAAATAAAAGGAGTTGTGGACTTGTTTACGTTTTCTTAATTAGCTGCCAAAGTGCTTATATTTTTCTTGAGGCCTCTGATTAATGCAGTTTCTTAAATCCCTGTTTACATCTAGATTTCCATGAATTTCATATCATATATTTTTATTTAATTTTTCCATCTTGACAACATGGAATTCCAAATGCCTGATTTCGATGCTTTGCTGATGCGGCAGTCGCCTGGTTTTTTTTCGCCCAAAAGAGTCCTAAAATTCGCGAGCAGGAGCAGGGGGGATTCCAGGATAGTTGGCCACAAAACGGGAGACTGAGGTTAAGGCCACGCCCCCCATTCCCCATTCGCCGCCCCCCTCGGAGAGGGGGAAAAAATTCATTTATTATTAAAATCACTTTCGTTGCAATGAGGATTCCAAATGTCCTATCGTTTCGTTTGTTTTTATTGGTGTGCGTGTGTCGCCCTTTCTATCTCTCAGTCCGTCCCTCTCTATCTTACACATCTGCCGTCTCTTTCGTGGCCTGTGTTTGTCCAAAATCCTGACGAGAATTGTCTTGAACTAGTCCAGTTCCGTGTGTAATGTGCTTTGGACCCCTGGCTTCCCCCATCCCTGACATATCCATTCGCCGTTCTGGAATCCCTGCTCTATAAACCTCTACTTGCCCGTAGAGCTGTGAGCTTGGCTATTTTATAACTGGGTGTACTTCTGTGGTAACAGTTTAATTTTAGGTTTTTAACATGCTTTTTTATTTAGGTTGTTGCAATCACTTTTCAAAGTGTCGAAAAGTATGCAACACTATTTTTTAGAATTTAAAGTTTTCATTGCCTACTTTCAGGCACTATAATTGGTGATTTTGTTTCAAACTAGATCTTTTTTCATCTACCTATATTTTTAACGTCATGAATTGGCTAATTTTTGCTATAGCTAAACCATTTCGCCAGCCTCCAAAAAGATCTGCAGCACTCGTCCTGCGAAAACACAGCCCCCCGACCACCCACTTTGGAGGCCCTTGTTGTTGCCGGGTTAACAAGTGTCATATGTGGTTGCTGGATGTATCTCCATCTGTCTGGCTGTGGTAATGGCACATCCACTACTCCGTATTTGCAGAACAGGACTCCTTCTCCCCGACATCCTTATCCTTCGACTGTCGGCGCACCTGTCTCTTCTTGGGTCGTCGTGGCGTATTCCTTGGATTTAACTCAAGTGTGCTTTGGAGATTTTGTAGCCGCTTTAAAACGTTATGCACCACAGGACACCCCCATTCCTATATGTATGTATATCCTTTTTGGGTTGTTTGTTTTTGTGTTGTTTTGGGCTGCGCAAAATGTCAACGAAAGTGCAAATAAAATCTAATGGCGAAATCATTGCAAAAGTTACGAACACAGAGACGTGTTCCCAGTGTGCGTGAGTATCTGTGTGCGGGGATGGCTAGGTAAGTCCTTAATGGGCTTGTCATTTGGTTTGTCGCACCCGCGTGAATTTGTTTTTATTCCAGCATTGCATTTTATGAGTCGGTCGGCATTTTTGGCAAACGCATTTCGCATTTTCCGCAACCTTTTCCGAACAAAAAAACGAAGTAACAGCCACACATTCTAGCGATTTAATGACCTCAAAGTCGGTCGGCAACCGTTTTGCCATCATCGCAAAAATCTCGTTAGGGATATTAGTCTCCAGTCAAAAGACGCCGGCAAAAGAGCCCTGAAAGAGCACAAACTTGGCCTTAACTTTTAAACGATTTGGGTTTTGGCTTCGACTCGACTCCAGGCAAAATATCCTGTGACATTTGACAGTTACATCGGAGTTACATTCGTCAGCTTTGACACTAGTGGGGCATTTAATGTAGTTCTTCTGCAATTTTTCAAGGACTCATAACTTTACTTTTTTGCTGATTGAGTTGATAAATCTTAGCTATAAAAATATTAAAATAAATGTTAAAATGTCTTAAAGAATGCGGTTAATAAAGGATTATATTACTTTTGGTTTCCAGTATGAATTCATATCATTTTTGGTTTAGTTTTTGAGCATTGTAAAAATTTAAATTATTTATTATTTTTATAATTCCGCCTTGGAAAAAAATGCACTTCTCCCATTTATAAAATAATGATGCTTCTTGGCTGATTTCATTTGGCCTAAGCCAATTTCTTATCTTCTTTCGCACTCGCACTTGATTCAATTTCAAATATTTTCCGGAGGCCAACGGAAAAGGGCAAAGTGAAAGGAGAAAGGTGAAAGGGGAAATGGGAAGGGGGAGAAGGAAAAACAGGATGATGGGAATTCGCAGGATGTTGGGCACTAAAGGTGCTCAAATATTTATGCCCCTTGTGGTGGATAACCAAAGAAAACACAATGAAACTAAATAAGAATATTGCGATATACAATAACCGACTCCCGTCCAATCCGCTGAATAAAACATGGACACTGCGAGAAATAATTGCTATGAAAAGATTAAGCTTAAAAAACAACGAATTTGAGAATAGTACAAATTAATTACACTTTTAATTTTTTGTAAGCAAAGAATTTTTTATAAATATCATAAAGAATTATTGTAAGAGTACCGTTATTATTAAAAATAAGATGAAAGCAGTTTTTGATTTTGTTGCAATTTTGTTATTAAATATTTTACAAATCAAATTATTTATAATATTTTTTCCTAAGTTCATAGAATTTCTTTGTTAATTATCAAACACCACTCGGAAAAATTAAAGAAATTTTGGTAATCAAAAAAAATGGTTCTGATATCACCCCCCATAACAAAATCCTAGATCCGCCACTGTTTAATTAAGTACGATTTTTTTCAGTGCACCATGTGAGTCTCCTCCTGCATAATCATTGGAAGGTTGGGGTGAATTTCTGAATTTAGGCGCTGCTCTTATTCTTCCTTGGAGCTGTGGCATTTTAGGAAATCTCTCCCCTTACGATCCGAAACCGAATCCGAATCGCATATGAGTAGTGCACAATTACACACATTTTTCTTCCTGCACTCGAGGGTTTCCCTGTGTGTGTGTCCCCTTAGTATCTGTGTGTGCAAATGGGAGGTGGGCGGTGGGCTGTCGGCATCAAATATTTATGGACGTGCCAGGGGAAGCCGCCAAGCAATCGCTTCATATTCAATATTCAGTTGTTACGCGCGGCAAGTGCAGCAAATTGCCAATTCGCCATTCCAATAAGCCGAAACCAAATGAGCAGCAGCCAAACAATGGCCAAGTCCCAGTCCCACTTCCAGTCCGTAGTATACATATATCCATCCGGATATCCCGGCTCTATCTATCTGTTTCGGGCCAAGGGCCAAAGCCAAAACCGTTTTGAGACGAGACGCGAAGAGTCGCGTTGAGATGGGTTTCGGATGGGTTGGGTGGATGGGTTGATGGGCTGATGGGCTGATGGGCTGCTGGGCTGCAGCCTCCGAAGCAATTATCCCGGCCAACACAATAAAATCCACATATTGAGCCGCCCAAACAGTCAAATGTAATTCCCTTTTTGAAGCCAACGGTTAAATAGTGTGTAGCATAGTGTCGACCTGGGCTTAAATCCAGTTTGGAGTGAGAATATTTCTATGCAATTTACGCGTCCATTATGTAGGCCATTAGGTAAATTAGTTTTTTGTGTGTCAATGAATTCTTCTCTGGAAAAAAAGTAAAGTCACTATATAAATAATTTAAATGTATAATTTAACAATAAATATAAAATATGAATTCATTATAGATCTCGAAAAAATCAATACTTGTAATGTTTATTTTAAAGTAACTTCTATTTATTTATTTAAGTTTTTTAATATTATAAATTTTTCCTACAAATAAATAAAGTATTTTAATTTATAAACTAGCTTATTTTGATTTTTATCCATATTTTGGCAATTTCTTAAAATTTTTTAACTTTAATCAAACAATTAAAAATAACGGAAATAAATTAATAAACTACCTTTGAAAATTTTGGCTTTCCGATTTTAATAAAATAGATTTTTGAGGGGGATTGTTTTGTTCCTTTTCCATACGATTACTTTTTATCAGGAGCTTGTAAAAGTGATTTACTCTGCCTGTTTATCAGGTGGCCAGGATTAGGTCGTCCTGTAAGCGAGGATAATAACGCCGGCTCTTGGCTCTTGGCTCTTCACGCTCTTTATCCCACCCCTAATGACCCCCAAA